TGTAATTTATCCAATTTTATTTTATGTTTCTAATATATCTTTTATCAAACATGGTATAAAGACTTGGGAGCATTTAAATTATTAAGATTGCCACTATCGGTTAGAAAATAAACAAAAAATATTTTATACCTATGGATTCTCGAAAAACTAAATGTTTAATAATTTTCCATCTATAATCTAACGATCTAATTTTAATATTTATTTTAGGGCTAGCATGGCTAATAATTGTGGAATCATTATTTGAATGATTCTAATGACTCAAACTCACTAATGTTTAATAATTCCCCTCTATCCTAAAAAACAAATATTTCATTAATTTTGAATTTGTTTTTGTTTTGGGAATTATTTTAGTCAAAAGGAAACTATAAACTGTTTTTGTCTTCTTTCAAAATGTTTAAATTAATGCCATCAATTATATTTAAATGTCATAAATAAAATTAATACAAAATTTCGTTTGGAAAAAAATACGATTTTCTTAAAAATGCTTTAAACTGATAATAAAATACTACAATCCTTATTTTATTCAAGCACTATGAATTTTAATTCAAATCGAATTAATTATTTCATGAAATTCATTTCATATTCTCTGAATAACAAATTACTTGATACTTTCTTAGATCGAAATGAGAAAACATGCTCAGTCAAAAAAAAAACAATTTTTTGTTGAGCTTAATAATTCTGTTTTTTTTCATACTGGTGTTCATTCTTTTATTCATTTGAATTTATTTTTCCCATTAAATAGAATATCCTTTAAAAGCTTGGTTTCTAACTAAGTATTTATGTAAAAAATATAAATATTTAAGCGTCTCATAATATTTTTATTTGAAATTGATATTTAATAGCTAAACAATTGTTTATTCATAATGAATACATTATGGGCTCTGTTCAAAATTTGATCAAACATCTTTTTCCCTATGAAATCATAACTTATCGTATAGCTGACTTAAATAATCAATTATCAGAAGTAAACAATAGTTCACTAACAAATAATAAACTCGTATGTATTTTTTTACAATCTCTAATATCATAAAACAGATTCATCTCACATCCTTTTTTCTGTCTACCATTTTTTCCCTGCTTTTTTCACTCGTTTCCCTAATATACATATTAAAGCATTTTTTAAAATCCATAACAGTCGAATTCTTTAATATATCATCATTTTTTCTAATTAACGATAATGAATCAATCTGATAAATGGCGCGTTTCTCTTTTGTTTCATAACATAACTACTGAAATCAATATCAATGTATCTCTTGATCAAATAATGTTATCAGAGATATTAAATAAAATTATTACAGCTGTTCAACTAACAACTATTAAATGAAATTCGTAAGTTATATGAATTATAGTTCGGGTAAACCAATAATCACAATATAAGATTAAGAAATGAGTTGTATAATGCTGTAGTAATACCATTTACTGAAATTAAAGATCTCCTAAAACTTACGATTTAATATACTTCTTACAAAATCATTTTAGAAATATTAGGAATGAAAATTGGACTGTTGAGCACAAGTAAAAAAAACTAGAATTTTTTAAAAATACATTCTCACGAACTTTTGACATGCGAAATAAACCTTTGACATAGAAAGTAGATTTTTTCAATTGATAAAAGTAATTACGAACTATAGTTAGATTTCACTCAATTTTCACGAACGTTTGAGATAAGAAATAAACTTTTGACATAGAAAACAGCATTTTTCTTTTCATTTGATGAATTTAATTACAAACTATAGTTAGATTTAAACGCATTTTCATGAACCTTTGAGATGAAAAATAAACCTTTGACATAGAGAATAGAATTTTTTCTTTTCGATTTGTGAAATTAATTACAAACTATAGTTAGATTTCAATGCATTTTTACGAACCTTTGGGATGAGAAATAAACCTTTGAGCTAGAAAATAGAATTTTTTCTTTTCATTTGATGAATTTAGTTACGAACTATAGTTAGATTTCAATCTATTTGTACGAATCTTTGAGATAAAAAATAAACCTTTGACATAGAAAATAGAAAAAAACCTATTGTGATCATTGAATTTTATCTAACTTAATCATATAATTTACTTAAAAGAAAAAAAAGAAAAAAAATGTATTTGTAAATAAATGTTTACAATGGCAGTAAATCATACGGCAGTAAATCGTGTAATCCATAGGTACATCAAATGATATAGAAGATCATTTAACCAATAAACGTTTTGCTACATTAATCCTTACTGTATTTGGTGAGGGTAATTCTCGAACGGGTCCTATTTTGATTTTTAAAGGACAAGGTTGTGTTACATCAACAGAAAGAGCTCAATATGCTCAAGGAGTTCATGTGTTTTTTACGGATCACTAAAAGGTGTAATAAATGGTACAACAATGGATCGTTATGTACAATTATGGTGGTCGAAAGTAAGAATTGTTTGAAAATTCATACAGAATAATATGACATGATTTTACGTTTATAGGTTAAAGATACTCACCCAAAGTTAATGATTGCTGAAAGTGCAGATCCTCATCTAAATGCTGATGTTATTCGTGATTTACGTAAGAAACGAGTAGTAGTTGCTATTATACCAAAAGGTTGCACCATGTATTTACAGGTGCTTGATGTTTCTGTTTTTTCAATTTTTAAGAATCATTACGACGATGTTGTCGAAGAATATATTGATTACAATGGACCAAGAAGTAAAATAAAACTTACAGCATCTCAATCACGTATTCTTTGCACCAGATTTACATGCTCTGCATGGTTACGAACATTAAAAAGTATCGATTTTGTTAAAGTATTTCAAGATATTGGTTATATCTGGTCAGATAATTCATCATTTTCTCTTCGTACAATGCCTGGCTACACATTTGATCCAAGTTCAGCTGACTGGGTATCGTCAATCAATGATGATAACGATATAGAAGATCGTATTGATATTGTCGCTGATAAATCATCAGAGCAACAACAACACACTCAGTCATTAGCAACACGATCAAAACAACTAACATTATTTAATATGTAGAAAAAATAAAATGTAGTAGTTTTTTTGTATATTATATTTATTTTGGGTGTAATATTTATACTATGTATGATATTTATTGTACATGCAATATTTATTTGTGTATAATACTTATTTTGTGTCTAATACTCATTTTGTGTATAATATTTATTTTGTTCGTATATAACGAAAATAAAGTAAATTATCATAAAGCATGAAAACTAAAATTCGCTTTGTTTTCATACAAGTTTCTAGCAACTGACGATTTAGAAGACCCCCTTAGCAAGTTGACATACAAGGACGCATTAGAAGATTCGGGGTCTTCTATTACGGGGAGGAATTTACGTTAACTAAGACGGATTTTCAAACACGTGTTTTTATTGGTAAAAAACGCAACTATATTTTATTTTTATGCGTTTAAACGGCATACTATTGTTATGTAAAAACGTAATCACGCGATTTCCTGAGCGATTCTGAGAATATTCTATTAAGAGATAATGTTGTAGTACCAATGAGTATATTTATCTAATCTATCTATATCTAGTCTTTAATAGGTTAGTAAGGTTCATACT